TTTACATTGCAATGAATATTTTGTAAATAAAGGTACATATTTCCCATTTTCCCTATATATGGTGACTTTTAGGATACCCAGTACTACTACTACTACTATTTGTTATTATTATTATTATTATTATTATTATTATTATTATTATTATTGGTCCCCACAGTAATGACAACCATGGGTACTTGTTCACTTACTTCACAGCAAGTTGTCTGTACAAGAGCCACAACTTAAGGATTATTTATCATTTTTATATGGTTGTGGTTTTCTTTGGCTGAGAACAGAGAAGTCATTTCTGACACCGAGTAAAAGACAGCGACTTCATAGATTTCTCACAGTCAGCACTGCTGTGTTTCATGTTGCTCTAAAATGACAGCTAAGTTTGAGTTTTCCTCGGATGACCCACATACACTATTTTGCCACAGAGAGCTTGATTTTTAGTGTGTGGTCTCTGAGCTTGTTCGCAAAACAAAAACCCTATGAAGGATTGCCTTGCCTTCACCACATCTGTTTTGTAATGTGAGGGTTTTGTTTGGATTTGTTTATGTCTTAAATCATGGACTATACAGTACAAAAGTAGCCATCAGTTGCTTTCCTCCATGTGATATCTAGTAAGGATGGCTTTTGCAACATAGAACATCTTTGACGCAAGTCAGTGTTGCCTAACCAAATACTTTATACTTTGAGGAAGTGGCCGGAAGAAAGGATCCCATTTTATGCTCACATTGTGTTCAGAATGGTATCTGTGTGTTTGTGTATGTGTAATGTTAGCAACCTACTATTTTTAGTATTTGTTTAGCAACTGAAAAAAAAACTGCTTTCTCAGTATTCTCTTAGATCCTTGTTAGATGGAAATAGCAATATATGAGTTTTGAGTGCTGGATGGGAATATAACGTCAAAATGTGTGACCTAGAAATAGAAGAGCTACTAGGGATGACAACATTATTTACTGCAGGGAAGATGTTCTCTCTTTTCATAGGCTTGGTTTCAGAGGACCACTCAACCATTGAGGTTTGTTATCCCTTTCAGTCAGAGATTGTGCTGAAATTGTTGTGTGTTTGTTTTCAGCGCCAAATCTTAAAGGCAGACCACGTAAGAAGAAGCCATGCTCACAGCGAAGAGATTCACTCAATGGTATTAAAGATTCCCATAACAATTGTGAAGGCAAAGCTGTTGCCAAGGTAAGCTACTTTATAATTTTGATCAAACTTCGTTTTAAATACAGTTTGCCTTTGTTTTTCAGCACAGCATTTCAAAGTAGCGTTGACTCTGTAAAGAAATAAGTACAGATAGCAGTAAACTGTTGCTGTTCTGGATGGCTATTTGTCCCACATCCTTCCCTTTAAAATGTATTTTAGACTGCTTTGGTGTAAAGTATTAATCACACAACCAGTCAATTGATTATTATAAGCCTTCTGGCAAAATAACATTGGTTGAAAACTTTATGTGAGAGTTGTACCTATATTTTGTATATTGAGTTCCTTCCAATACTTATGCATATCCACACAAGGAGTCCAAAAGTCATATGCATATTTCATCATTTCATATTCTCAGTATTACGACGAGGTAAACTAGAGTGAGAAATAGCAACTTGCTATCCATTGAGTGTCACGGTGGGAAAATAATTTGTACCTGCGCCTTCCCTATCCTAGCAGTCTGAAATCCAAGCCCAGTATGCCATGTTAAAAAAAATAACATGATCAAAGCTCAACTCACTTGCCTTCCAGATACATTTTGAAAATAACCGTGTATGAAATGTTAACTTGTTTTTTGAGTAGTGACTTATAACACATGCAGAGATAATGATATATTGAACAGTTTTTATTTTTTTATTAAATTTTTATTGTGCATTTCAGTAATTTATACAGTGAAAGAGAAATAACAGTAATGATAGAACTATCCGACGTATGAAAAAAATATATAGAAGAAGCCACACTTGCATGATCAGAGAGATTTTATAAAACTTCTATCAAGAAGTCAATCTCTCAGAGGACACTGGGAAGTCAATTGTTCTTTTTTTCTTTTGTTTTTGTTCATTTTTTAAACTCTTTTTTTCTCTTTTCTTTTCTCTTTCTTTCTTTTCTCCTTTTCTTCATCCACCTCTATTTCCTTTTTTCTGCCTTTCTGCTTTACTACAATGATATGTTCTCACTTTAACAGTTTTTATTTATTTATAAGATAGAAGTTCAATGTCATACATCATGTTTTGGACCAAATCTTTGAAACACATGCCCTTAAGTTCAAACAATCTATGACTCCCAGATTACTTAGGTCTCAGTCATAAGCACATGTTTCTCACTTGATGAACCATCAAGTGATGACTTGTGTGTACAAATGAGCCATCATAAATTCTTCAGATGTAATTTTCACATCACTTCCATTCACCTCAATAATGCTTTTCAACAGTCAGAGGCACAGGATACCTTGTGATGACTATTATGAATGGTGTACAGAGTATAACTAGCTTCCCCCACTTTGGTTGTATATGTTTCCAAGATTTCATAGAATCATAGAATAATGGAGTTGGATGAACCCATGTGGGCCATGCAGGAAAAGCACAATCCAAGTATCTCTGACAAATGGCCATCCAACCTCTGTCTAGAAGTTTCCAAGGAAGGAGCTTCCGCCACACTCCGATGCAGTGAGTTCCACTGTTGAACAGCTCATATGGTCAGGAAGTTCTTTCCAATGTTCAGGTGGTATCTTCTTTCCTGTAATTTGAACCCATTTTCCTCGTCCTAGTTTCAAGGACTTGAATTTGATCACCATCTCCTACCTGTCACAGAGTACCATGCAATTCAGATTTCAATCCAACTGCTCCCTTGCCCCTGGGCTTTTCCAGCGAGACCCATCCCACTTAAGTGAGAGCTAGTAAAGAGGACAGCCAAATATCTTGAAACAGTAGTCCCAAATGCCCTAAACCACGCTGTCCTTTCTTGAGAGAAAAGTCAGTCAGAGCAGCAACGTGGGTACCATTGCTGGGAACTCTTTCGACAGCAGTGCCCCATCATCTTTTGCCTGTTGTTGTTGTTGATGATGGTGGTGGTGGTGATGCTGATGATGCTGATGATTTTTTTCACTCTGGTGGAAACATTCCCTAACAGAAGGACCACCTACTTCCTTCTCCAAAGGTTGTTCCAGTATTTCTCCTGTTGACTTAACAGAAATTATAGTCTTTAAAAAAAAAAATGTGTATAGAGTACGCTTAAGAATGCATAATAAAATTCATTTGTCCATAACCTTAATTAACACATATGTATGTTCGTAGATTGGGAGAAAGCATAGTGCAGTGTTGTTGGACTGGGATTCAGAAAGCCCAAGTTTTACATCCCTGTTCAGCCATGTGAACACATTGAATGATCTTGGGGACAAGTAACATACTCTTAGTCTCAGTAAAGGCCAATGGCAAAGCTCCTCTGAAGGAATCTTGCAGAGAAAACTCTTGTCAAAAGTTGCCTTAAGGTCGCTATAAATTGGAACAACTTGAAGGCAAACAGCGACAGCAACAACAAACCCTTGATTGTCGTTTTTCCTGTGTTTCAGTGAACCTTGATGGGGGGTGGGGGAGCCAAACCATTTAAGTCTGCCTTTTAGATCAGAATTGCTAACTTTGTTTTGGGCAGAATTGCTTTGCTTGTAAAAACTGCTTTTTCATTTCTTTTCACCCCAGTGACTGGCTTGGGGACCCATTTGTTAAGCATTTGTCATTCAACCTTTATGGGAGCCCTAAAACAGTGTTATTCTGTGGTGGGAAGTTTAGGAACCAGTTTTCTACCTATTTGTAGGCTTCACAGATTGCCAAAAATGTTAAAAATTAGAAACCAAGGCTAAAACTGGAAATTGTTGGAAGACCATTCCTGTTTTGGAAAAAGATGGGGTTTGGGGGATGGAAAAACAACAGAGAGGAAACATTCAGGTACATCTAATCACCTCTCAACAAACGATTGCCCCAGGCGCTGCCAGGCCATCAAATGCTAATCAAGGTGGTCAGTTGAAACATTCACACCTAGCTCTTTGCCCCACCCTGGTCATTCCACAGATATATAAACCCACTTTCCTAATCCCAACAGACCTCACTACCTCTGAGGATGCTTGCCATAGATGCATGCAAAACGTCAGGAGAGAATGCCTCTAGAACATGGCCATATAGCCTGAAAAAACCTACAACAACCCAAGATGGAGTTTGTTTGTAAATATTAGACTGAGGGGTTATGTGGCTCAGTCAATTTTAAAAAGCGAATTGCTTCTTCTGAATGCCTTT